CCCCCCCCCCCCGTATCCTTGCCAAAATGCCTAGCTCTCTGGAAAGGAAAGGGACAGGAAAGCTGGCCAGGCGGCTGAAGGCGTTGCTCTCTTTCCATGGCTGGGTTTCTGTGTCTTGGCTGCCCTCCTCCCTGCCTTCACATCCACACCACGTTTTCAGAGGAGAGATCCTCACTTCTGCTCTGAATCCAACAGCAGCCCCCCCACGCCCCCCTCCCTCCCTTCTCTGTCTGGTAAAAAGCAAAGGGTGCGGCTGACAGACCACCCCACGGCGCTTCAAGCACCTTCTGGAGGGGTTTACAACTTAATTCTATAGGCCAGTGGTCCCCAACCTTGGGGCCCCCAGATGTTCTTGGACTTCAACTCCCAGAAATCCTGGCCAGCAGAGGTGGTGGTGAAGGCTTCTGGGAGTTGTAGTCCAAGACCAAGGTTGGGGACCACCGCTCTAGGCGCCACATCACCCCGTCCCCTTCCAGTGAGCTGAGGATTCTGTTCTCCGCCCTCAGAAGGGATGGAAAGCGAGTCGACTTCGAATCAGCCGCCTGGGACTAAATCCGGGTCGTGAGCAGAGTTTCAGCTGCATTTCTGCAGTTTAACCACCGCACCACGATGCTCCTTCGTGTAACCCCCCCGCCTATGACGACCTCCCCTCACCCCGCCGCTTACCTCCCAGCAACACAGCCCCTTCCTTTTCAGCAAGGGGCTCCGGCAAGTGGCCACCTACTCCGATCCCTCGACCCCTTTCCAACCTCTTTTTTCCAACCCCAGGTGGGAGAGGGAGGCTCGATCCAGGAGGGCCAGCCGCCCCTCTGCCTTCCGGCATTTCTGGGCAGCGAGGGGCGTCCCAGGGCGCAGCTCACCTGAGGAACTCCAGGTCGTCCCAGCCGTTGTGGATCAGGCCCTCCTCGTATCTCTCCATGCCGATGGCCTTCAGCCACTCGCCCACGCTGGACTCCCCGGGGCCGGCCTTGATGCCCACGTCCTGGCCCAGAGTCTGAGGAGAGACGGAGGGAAAGAGGCCCCCAAAGTCATCTGTGGCTCCACACGAAGACTCCCCCCTTCTCCAGGCGGGCAAGGAAAGAAATAGAGAGCCTGATCCCCAGAAGGCCCCCCCTTGCAGGCTCGGAATACATTGTGAAGCCAGAGCTTGGAAAAGTTAGAGGTTTTTTTTTACACCCTCCTCCAGAAATGCCCGATTAGCAGCTAAGCAACCTTCCCAAGCTCTGGGG